ATATATATAATAAATATAATTTGTTAAAATATTTATTCAAAAAAAAATATTTATAATACGTCATTAAATTTTTTACCTTGATGATATTATCTAATTATAAGAAAAGAGATCTAAAATCTGAAGTAGATCATCCTGGTTTAAATTTTGATACACGCGCTTTTTCTTATTTGAGAAGTCTTTTTTAAATTTTTCTCACTAATACAATGTAATCTTATTGTTAGATAGAACACCTGCACTCTTTTAGCGATTTAATTTGAAGCGAACGTACGAAAGGAAGCCTCAATATACATCGGCTTTCCGCTATTCATGACGATACGTATGTCTTCTCTTATTAATGTTGGCGCAGCTGGCGCGCGAACATCGCGGCACGACCGACAGAATTGGGAAAATTAATTGTCGTCTTCTAGAAGGGAAGCACGCTCCATCTCTTCTCCGGTAAAGAAGGAACCGCGAGATATCGAGCAATGCACGTTGTTTGCACTCGCGATTAATCAACGTTCTCGTCTCCCGATATCAGATCTCGAGGGAATCCAATTCGTTCGGTCGTTTTGCACCCACTTGGGACTTCATTTTTTCACAAAAAAAACCTTTCCCGTTCGTTACTTGTTGAGTAACGCGAAAATTCTGTTGTCGAAAGTTTCGAGAAACTCTTTTGAACGTTTTTGTAATATATCTATAAATATATAAATATCGACCTCATGGAATATTGCTTTATTAATTTTGTGATAAACCACACTTGAAAATGTATTTTCGCTTTGCTTCGAAGTTTGAAATTAATAAAATGTTCTTTTTTTTTTATATTTGTCGATAGAAGTTTATAATTTGTTAGATAATAATTTTGATATGAAGTATATAGCATAAAAGAATTATAATATTGACTGATAGTTTTATATTATTTCATCAAAGAAATGCTATTAAATCATTTCTTCAATCATAAAATATTTTTAAATATTTTTATCTCTGTAATTTTATCTCTGGGTCTTCTTGACATAAATAAAATTTAATTTAAGAATTTCCAAAAATAAAAAAAAAAGTTGAGTCGATTCTTCTTCCTAAAATAATGATAATTGAGAAAACTATTTGGTGACGTATAATAAAAACGTTGAAAAGTAACTCACAATCAGAATGTTTCTACATTTTTTAAATGTCTGAAATAGTAAAAAAATTTGGATTGAACAAAAAAAATCCAAATTACAGACAGTGGGA